CAATGAATTCCACCGCATTCCTGGTTGGGATATTAATGTACCCACAACCAGCCCGCTACATAAACTCCTTCCACCGGCGCGCTTAGTCTTTATTTGATTTTTTAATGGACTGAAAAATAAACCTGACGTACCAAAATAATGTCAAACATTTAACAGGATTATGTAACATTTCTTCATAAGCTTTAGTAGGTTGAATGTAATGATTATAAGAAATTTAGGACCTTATTTCTATGAATAGAGGTTGAGTTTCTAGTGAAGCTGGGTATTAATGTGTTACATATATTCAAGGAAAAACATTGTATGGGCATTCTATAAACAAAATCTTGAAGTTATATTTACAATAATCCATAAAGTTCTACGAAAATTGTGTTGAGGACTTACGAAATAGTAATACGTAACAATATTAATGGCTTTGAAACACTCAGAGAGTGAGAATAAACTTTCACATTTCATTAAATAGTTGGCCAGATAACAACATTAATAACATTTACTACTCTCTTAAAACATTTTAAAAAATTTTGCCAATTAAAGACTCTGAGATAAAAATGGACGAAGTCGTCTCCAAAGTTCTTTGCAAGACAACATTAACACATTAATGACGTCGTAAAACCCGGGGCTGTAAAATTGGGCACCGACTTGTCGCTTTCATCTGCGGATGCTCACTTCGTCAGCGTCTTCTGCTCTCCAGAGAAACTAATTACACTCCGTTATATCCCTCTAAATGTTTTATGGTACAGAATGATTTAACGTCTAAGAGATAAGACTTTGCCATATAATTTACCGTATAATTACTACATATATATTATCTAGGCAACATGCAGAATTTGTTTGGTACATCTAAATTAACTACTGCGTCACCTAATAAGGAGTTGTCATCAAAATATGATTCTCAACACCACATGATTTATGTTATTTTTTATCTTTATGTTTGTGTTTGTATGTTTTTTACTAAGTTAAAATGGTTAAAATATGGGTTGTGCATTCTCTTGTATCTTGTTTTACAAAACTTAAGGGCTTGATATTACCAATATTTACTAATTATATAGTTTTTTTCATAAGAAACAAAATTGTATTTTTCTTTTTGAATGAATATGAAATGTTTTGGTAAACAAGTTTATTTAACTTCAAACAAAAAAAAATCTTATAAATTATTACTGTAATGTTTTTAAGCACTTTTACGGTTACTCGGTACGGATTAACTATCTTTACAATGAACAAAGCATACAGATGTAATGTTTCATTTAGCCACATTATGTAACCAAATAGGCCTGTGAAACACATGCCGAGTTACAAGCATCCTCTTTAATATAAACATCGTTGAAGCGAGTTTACACAGCTCAAGCAGCGAGACCTCATCTCTAGAGAGCCTTGTTCTGACGAGAAACAAGCTCCGAGGACCTGTCGGGTCTCGAGTTTCGTGTAAGTCTAACTCTATTAAGACAGAAACTCCTGTCATATCCCCCCCTGCCATCACAACTTGTACCAATTTAATTCATTTTATATTCCCATCCAACATTTCCTTAAGATGTATTACTTTGATATACATGAAGGTAGGCCTAATGTTTGATAAATATGTTGTTAGGTTTTGTATTCTAAAAATGTTATTACTTTCGTGGATTTTTATTCTAATTATAATTTAATTAGAGTACAAATATTTCAGATATTTTACTTGTGATTTTCAATTAAAAATGCTAGTGCTATTGTCTAGTGATCACATGTCCAATAACTAAATGTGCTACTCTCACATATTGAACGAAAAAGAGAGACAAAAGTAACATATTACACTAAATTTAGTTTAAAATCGTACTAGCCGTTGTCCTTAAAATTATATTTTCCTTATATTATACGTTTTATAGAAAAAACAAAAAAAATGGATCAAATTTATAAAATGCCTGGATATAAAGTGGGGAAACCCAGATACCAAATTTCATCCACCCTTGGATTCCACGCGTAATCTTTAATTTTATCCACATCCGCACACACACACTCACATCTCTAAGCGATTCTATTGTTACCTACTTTGATGTATATTACTGAAACAAAGTGGAATTCAGTAGTTTAAACATGATGTTAAAATGCATCATTTATGTTGTCTGTTTAATGTTGTCCGGCTTCTACAACTGATATAATAAAGTTTTTTTTTACTAAAAAAGTTTTTCTGCAAGGAATTAGTCCGGTAAAATACTTAGTGATTCTGTGTTTTTAGTCAACGATGATTATCCTGAATGTAAAGTAATACTCCAGTTGCAGAAAACTGTGAATTATAACACGATGTACGTTTAGCTTATATGTTTGAACATGAAAGGAGTTTTACAATTAAGCTGATTCAATTGTATAAACCTTTGAAATAAACGCATCCGGTGGAAGAACGTGACAACCCACAATGAGCGTAGGCAAAAACGGGACAAACCCGTTCAAATTTTAAAGCAATGGGCTGACAATTAGTTCCATATAACCCCCTTTTTTGGATTCCTGGAAAATTTACTTTCGCGGGTTAGCCCGTTTTTCCTTAGGACTCTTTAATACAATAATATCCCCTAGCTTAAGTCATTTTTATTTCTTACGAGGTGTTAGCCCGTCCTACGTACGGGAATTCAGTAGTCAGTTAAAACCGTGTACAATTCAGATTGGCTAGTTTACACATATAAAGACAAAGTTTCTTGAAGTTTTAATGTGAAAAATCATCTTGTAAACAAATGTTGTGTGACCAAATATGTTTTTATTCCATCATAGGTATATACGATATGCATTTTAAATCAGATCATAATTTTACAATAAAACAGCAATTCTGCAATTTTTACGATGTGAAAAGCGTTGAAGTGAGATTTGCAGCCGATTCGCACAGACGAACACTGATTATAAGTAGCCTACTGTAGAGAGAGTAATAGTCAATTGAGAAGTGTATAGACCTAGTCAACGATACCACCTTCCATAGCATACCTGCCTCTTCCATAATTATTATCACCACAATACAACTACTATAAACAATTTCCAGTAGGTCTGAATAGAAACGACCTAAAATAAAACGATAATTTTCACAACAATAAAATTCACAGTACACATAATTTAACTTTGGTGTCCTAACATCAAAACTAATCGTCACACCTGTCATTTATATCAATTTCACTGCATTAATTGCTAAATAAATAAGCGTAAAGAAAGAAAAGTAAAAACAATAACAGTTTGTTTTGAAACAGCTGTTTGGTTCAAATAACATTCATTTGAAAAAAAGAACTGGTCACATGTAGCAGGAAAATAAAAAGTAAACACGCTAGTAAAGCTAATGACGTAATTGTCAATGTTTACTATCCACACCGTTATCAGTACTATCCTTGATAATTACCCACCCTCATTGAATAAATGTACATCGTAATTTCCCATATTAGTTAATTTAAACTACAATATATTCATGGTTGAAATAAAAGTGAAATTTTCAGGTTTGGGGGCGCTGATATGGGCGCCCTAAACGTAACCACAACTGAACACGATTTCATAAAAGGATGGTTTGTCTAATTGCAGTATCCTAGGTCAATGTTGACGTTGTGTTCAATCTATGTCATCCATCTGTTTATCTTTGTATAAAACCCGGCTGAGGTTGTGGTGGTAATTTAAAATCATGATTCCTGATTATTCTTGATCTTCTTTTTATGACATCAATATTTCCGGGCCTAATCCAAACAAAGTTAAAGCAGACAAACATTAATTGTAAACAAAAAGCTACCATGAATAATTAAAACATGTAAACATTGTTATTTTTCTAATCTTTTTTTGAAACGTTTAGCAGTAAAATAAGAGTAAATAAAATAACCTCATAGTTCCATAGTTTATATTTAACCAGCTGTTAGTTAAAACAAATTATTTTGCTCTAAAAAAAATCGAAGATTACAAAGATTGCTTTGAAAAATAATTTGAACATCCTAGTATTTTACTATGTATATTTAATTAATCTGTCATCCTCTTACAGAATAATTGATCGTATTAATGATTAGCATTACAGATAGTATAAATAAGTCAACCCTAAGTATGTCTTTACATTTTTATCCAAATGCTGAATTTGTGACACAAAAGCTGAATGTTTACAGCTGTTATGAAGCAAATTATTTTATGCCAAAAGCTAGTTTAGAATCTTAGCGTCGGCTGCTAGACTTAAAAAAATTAAAACTTAATTCCTAAAAAAACTGGGACCATAAACTAAAATTATGGCTTCGACATTCCCTAGTTCTCAAAATTATCTTTCTTTTAACACAAAAATCATGAAAATCCGTCAAGTGGTTGATTCAGAATCGTGAAATAAAAAAACACTGTTTCGTTTTAATATTATAGATTACTTAATGCAGCGTTATATTATTTGTGAGATAGTACTCTATAAAAAATCTAGTTGATGTAATGTACTATTGCTAATAACATCTTTATTAATTAAATATATATATATATTTTTTTTATTGAAATGTTGACGCTTTAGGTGAATTACTCTAAGTTAGTATCTGTACAGTAGCGTAATATTTTGCTACACAATAGCTTGTGTTACTGACAACTATTCTTTCTCCCTGCTATATTCAGCTTTGTAGTCTACTATCGTCGCTTGCGAGTACAATCAACGAAAGGCTTTGCTTGCAGCCAATCATGCAAAGCTATAAAGTAATATTTGGACAGCATAAAAAGTGACATAAAAAATATTTACAATGTAATTATTTTAAAAATATTTATGTTCATTAAATCAAGGTAAATGACTTTAATATACCACACATACTGTGTTTTCGAATTAAACACTAAACTGCAAAAATTGGCTTTAAAGTATATTTTTACTGAAGCAGATGTTTTAAATAAATACAAAGTATATTTAGTGAAGTAATGTTGAAAAATGGTAAGGGTGGTGAAGCCTATCTCGTGGACACTGCTGTAATATAAACAAACATTCACAGTGTATTTAGCCCCGGTGGCATAATACCACTGCATTATTAGTTTTCACGATTCGGGTGACTCCGGCCACGGTCGGGGAGGCTCGGACGATAGTTGGCGAGGCGACGCGAGTCAGTTGTCGGCGAGCTCGTGGGCCGTTATGATCTCCGTGGTACAGGGGTCCTCCCTACTGTCGTGCCGAGGGATGATGAGGGAAACACGTCTGAGATCGCTCAGTAACTCGTGTACAGTTGTCGGACCTTCATGTGCATAAATGTGTAAACGTAAACTAATTGATTTAATTTTGATCACTAGGCTTAGTCAAACCTCCAAATTTGTAAAGTGTAAGTTATAGGTGAATTTAATAAACTAAAAACAATGTGGATTTTCCTGGTGATTCTGTGGATGTTTTGCGAGACACAACTGCTTGAGTGCTACATGATATCTTCGTTGTACCCAAATATTACTCTGGAGGAAAAAGGTAACTGACTTCTAATATCGTTATGTTTTCTATTTTGTATTGTAGTATCAAGTAATCACTTTCCATCGTCGCAAAAAAAAAAAAAACTCTGAAAAAGGTATCTAGTTTATTGAAGGATTTATGTCTGTAAAATGCAAACTAGTTATTAAGGGGTTAATCAGTAAAGAAGACTATCGAATAGAACGTTAGCAATGCATCATAACATATTTCCACACTCACTGAACTGCGTAACGGTTGTCACCCAGATGCGAGGGTGCGGGTTTGAGATATAACATAAGTTTACAATGATTTAGTATATAACGGTTCTTATAATGTTTTACCTAACGAAATGGTTGTGAAAAGACTGAAGTTTTTTAATATATATCAGTTAATATTGAAACGGATGATTGAAGATAGATAAGTTAGGAGTTAATACATAATTAGTTAGCACGAGATCAGTCACTTACATGTTTGAATTTCATTCCTCGTACGATTTTAGAAAATGTGGCCACGAAACAACATAGTAGCAATCTCAATTTCTGGATCATGGTTTTCTGATAAATATTATATGATCGAACATTTTCAATGCAATTTATTTCGTCTATCTGAAGATAAAGTTGAAATAATCAATTACATTGACATTTTAAGAATTAGACAGTCAAAAAGGTTTGACAATACACATAGCATTAACACACAATAGGCCTACCCAGAAGATGTTATTTTATAGCCACAATAGCTATCTTTTGTCAATAGAACTCATGCTCAACTCAAATATATCCTTTTTGAGAAGTGCCACAATTGCCACAATTGCTAGAAAAGTGACAGTTTAGGTTAAAAGAGAAGTTCTAAACTTTGACGAAGATAAATGGTATTTTAAGGAAAATATTGCCCAATACACATTGGCCATCAGATTGATCTGCAAGGCAAACAGTTTTTAAAAGGTTTTGGCCCAACTGTTGTTTATTGTTGGTTTTATACGATATCCCTTCAGGGGAATAATCTCGGTAGCCGTATATCTCGTAAAATAAAACGCTCACAACACGGATTGACGAATTTGGTTATAACAGCGGGACGGGACACAGTTATTGACCAAGGAAGTTATACCAAAAAGTTATTGAAATCCATTCAAATCTATATATTCCATAAACCTAATAAAACATATAATAATTTTATAAGGCTAGAGTTTTACCAATATCTGTTCAAATATATTGATTTGGTATTTTAAATACCTAACTCTAAAGGTCTATTAAGAAATAAAATGTTTAATTCTATTGCAGTCATATTAATTTATAATAAAACAGGTAAATGGTTGTGGTCATAGTTGGAAATTGCCATGTCAAAATCAAAATTCAAAATCAACTGTCAATAACATGATTCATAATAAGTCTAATAAATTTACATGGGTCAATTTAAATAGCCGAACACTAAAAAATAGCGGCCAGTGATACATCTAAGTGCTGAATAAAAAGATTGATATCTATCTGTCTTTCATACATACTACTTGGTATGAAAAAATTAATCTTTGAGACGCCAACGTAAAAAATGTCTCCTATCAATTGTGCATGCAAGACAGTGTTGGTTTGAAATAGCCAAACTGATTTCATTTACTTACAATTTTATATTAGCTTAATCTTAAAAGCTTAACTTTTGATTTGCATCATAAATATGAGAAAAACCATAAACGCATTAAAAACTCACACCTAAAAAGACAAAACAAATTTTCTGTAATTAGTTGATGTAAAGTATTGCTCACTTGGATTGACTCACATTTTCACCAAAGGATAAGAGTTAACTGACAATGCTTTACCTCAGTGTTATCGATAATAAATGAAATGTGTTATTTTGACAGGTTTTCGTTACTTCTCTCTATGTAATGACTCCTACATGAAAAAATATTCATGTTCTTTTAAATAAACAGTTGTGTGTGAATTCAAAAATATTTTCTATAAATTATTTCCTATCTTGTTTTATCTATCTTATTTTTAATTATCTTTTTTTTTGCTGAGAAAAAAAAACATAGATCTTTATCAACTTAAATCGTACAATCTTAATGTATTATATCTCGGACTATAAAAAACACTTAAAAAATCATACCCATTGAGTCTGGTATTAAACGTGAGTATATAATTCTGTATATACATATGAAGTGTTTAAAGACTTCGAGATACAGAAAGGCCTACAAGAACTTCCAAGCCTCCAACAAAATACAAAGACTTTGTTCCTTAAAAAAAGGGCATGTGACATAACAGCTGTTGTGTATTAATTATTAGTATTGTTTGTTATGGTTTATGTTTATATTAGTTGAATTTCTTGAAAATAAAATGGACTTTATTAGAAAAGTATTCTGTGTGATACAACTTTATTACTAAGGTAGAGTCTCTTGTATGTGGATAAAGTTAAGGCTCAGTCTGGAAACTCGCACTAATCCCACACTAGTCAGGACTTTTGTTTTGTTTTACTACAACACCTTAACTTTGCAACTTTGGTTGTTACAATAAAGGAGGATTTAATTAATTCCCAGTTTCTAACCTGAAAAGCTGATTTGCGTTAATAACGGAGCCTACTTCTGTCTATACAAAAACTAATTACACATGGGAATTTATACGAGAGGGGGTTTATGGGCGTTGTAATATTCATTTAATTTAAAATTGCAGTTATATTTTAAATAATGGATAGGTAAACTAATAGTTTATTTGTGTGTAAAATTTTGTATAACCATGCTTATGTGTGATTATTTTAGTTTATTATTGTACTCATGCGGTTTATATGAGATTATCACGAAAGCTAGGTCCACGATAACTATATTTTCCTGGTGACATTCGAGTCTATGAAGATACTATTTTCCACATTTATTTTTTATCTCTCTTGTTTTTGGTTAGGACATTTTCGTTTTCTGTTAGTTTCCATGCTAAAATAAAATAAATACAACAAGCCCTTAATACACATAATTACTTAGACTAGTTTACTTATGTTACCAAATTAAAAACTTCAACCTTCCCAGATATATATCGGATACAAGTTTTTCGTTTAATAAAACAATATAATGTTCTAACAATATTTGAACCAGGGGTTTCCATGTATTTATATGTTATAGTAAAAGATAAATTAAAAATTATTGTTTACATCTTTGCATATGTAACCAACCCAATCAGGCTACACTCTACAACCTGGGAAGCTCACATCTGTAATTAAGGTAAATATATATTGTATATCTACATTGTAAAATCTGTTTGAGACTTATATAATAAAAAAAGACTGTACTTTAGTTTGCAAATCCTCTAATTACAGCCCCTCATATAAATGGATTTATTTGTGCTTGAGGTGTAAGGAATAAAAGTTAGAATGTACCATAATTTAAACAAAACTGTATTGTTTGTAGTATAGATGACAGTTCCAGTGGGTTTAGTTTGATAAACTAAGTTATAAAAAATAGCCAAAAATATAGAATAGTGTTATTGTAAATAAATAGTTCGAATGATTCTACCTTGTGACTTATAAAACAAGGGCCAGCTATTGCTTCTGCTAGAACATACATTTAATACAAATTGAAAACTGCACACAAGTTTTGGTTCAATCTATTTATTGCGGAGTAATATTTAAACTTTTCCTGATAGTTAGGTTGATAAGTTTTCTTTTTTTATTAACTGCTGAAATAAATATTTGTAAACAGTCATAAATAAAAGATAATTTATAGCTATGATGTTATGTGTAAAAATTCCGTTGATAATTATATCGTAGTACATAGCTAAGTAATATACACTAATATACAAGCCGTCAGGTAACCACAACGACACGATGGTGCCGTTTACAATATGAGAAAGCGTTCGACTGGAAGGAGGGTTGGGGGTGCAAACGCATTGATAATGGGCTTAGAGCCACCTATTCTTGTGTCCGATCACTACGCGCTTTGTATGGGGGAGATTTCATCCATGTAGCACATTATCTTTACTTATAAGCATGCCACAAGAAAAAAACTAGTTATATTTTTAAGTTATATTTATTGTATTCCTGTTGTAAGCATTAACCTATGAATGAACTATCGATTAAACATTTCGGTTATACACGAAACTGTCATTAATAAAGGTATTTACCCAAAATATGTAACGTTTGCCAAAAATCGAACATGATTATTGATTTAGTGAGTAGTTTTCATTTTTAATTACTATAGATTTATGGTAATAGACAAATTAAAATAATGTCGAAATATATTGTTTACTAACTTTCCCTAAACATTGTTTTAATGGGCTTTTAAGCTAAGTCATTAAATTAAAACTCTCTGTTGTATAATGCACAAAATTTAATAGATATACGATCAGCAACAAGTGTAGGTAAGTAACCAAAAATAAAGGCAAACAATTTAGGTGAAACTATAATTTTACATTAATAACTATGTCTAAGGATATTGTAGGGGAGGTCTCATTTTTATATAGGCTACGAGAGAAATTCTAAATACATTTTAATTACTTTTATCATAACGGAAATTTAAATAGATATATTATATACAAAATCCTGTTTTTGTCATAGCAATACCACATGTGTTTAGTGAAGGTTATAATGCTAGCTATTCTCGAAAACGAATGGTCAGTGAGGAATTTAATAGGGTCCTTACAGTGGTAGTAAGATTTTTAAACAGTAATCTAGGCATTTCTGGAACAAATGTATTTTACATCGCCATTGCTACATAGTTGCTAAAGCTCTTGAAAATAAGCAGATGTGAATTTCAGAAGATAAAAAGATGACGAAGTTGTGTCGGTGATTCCTTCCTTCCTGAATGCAGCAACAGGCCATTTATTATGCTTAATTTATACTTTACAATTTCCTCTTACTTATAAATGTGTTTCACCTTCATAAAGACCCACGCTAAGGTATTTAAGTAACTTAGAAAATATCTAAACTAAAAAAAATACACGAAAGGTGGTTGAAATTATAGATCTAGATATTTTGGTGGCAGGTTCGGCAGCGCATCGTCCTTCAGTTCCAACGCAGTGATGCCATGAGTTCGGATCCTGGTACCTACCACT